GTGGGAGTGGTGGTGGCGGCAGTGGTGGCGGTCGGGGTGGAGCTGTTCAGAGGGGAGGTTTTGGCGGTGGCCAGAGGCAGCAGCAGCAGCGTCCGAGCGAGGCCCGTACGCCCCAGCAGCTTCGTGAGTGGTTTGCTCAGCGTGGGGCAGCTGGGGGTAGTGTTCGCTGCCCGTATGTCATTCGCACAGGTGACCGCGCTGGTCAGACATGCGGGAAGTCTCACACACAGCACCGCTGCTTCACCCGCCTTGACGACGCTTGGCGCGCTGAGTTTGGCAACGAGGCTGAGCGCCCCCGTTGGCTAGAGCTGCTTAGGTATGGTGTTGATATCTTTGCTCTTGACTATGATGCTATCCTTGCTGCCACGTATGCCTTGACTGTTAGTGCTGAGGATGACTGTTACCTGTGTGTGCCGCCCAACCCGGGTATAGAGGCTGCTGCTCTAGGTGCTAGTGAGTCTGCTCTCCCTGGTACTGCGCCTGCTGAGGCCTTGCACACCTTCACGCTTAACTCAGGTGCTTCCCGCTGTTTCTTTCGCGACAGTACCACACTCACACCACTCCCTGCACCTGTTGCAGTCAGACTGGCTGACCCCTCAGGGGGCCCAGTTCTTGCACGTTCCACCACTGTTCTCCCGTGTCCGGCGGTTCCGTCTGGCTCACTGTCAGGTCTCCACCTCCCTTCGTTCTCTACGAACTTGGTGAGTACCGCTGCCCTCCAGGATGCGATGGTCCCTACCACCACTACTGGGGGTCAGCGTGTGGCGATCTGCACGTGTACACGGACAGGCCGTCACCTGGCCATGTTCACTAGTCGGCCTGGGTCGAGTCTGTACACACTGACTACTGAGCCTGTTCAGGTAGCAGCTTCTGGTCAGGTGTCCGACTCAGGTTAGGTAGCCGCCCCCTGTTCGTGTCGCCTCCTGTCGCACCAGAATCTCCTTTGGCACCACCGCCTTGGTCACCCCTCCCTGCCACGCCTCCGTGGCATGCACTCCCGCCTCCATGTTTCTGGTCTTCCCAGGTCTCTGCCTCCCCTCCCACCCTCGCCTGCCCCGCCCTGCCTTCCTTGCGTCGAGGGGCGGGAGCGCGCCGCTCCTCACTCCTCCTCGTTTCCCCCGACGACTGCTCCCTTGCAGACTCTCCACATGGACGTGTGGGGCCCAGCCCGCGTCAGTGGACAGGGCCGCGAGCGCTACTTTCTGGTGGTTGTTGACGACTACTCGCGTTACACCACGGTCTTCCCCTTGCGCTGCAAGGGGGAGGTCCCTGATGTCTTGATCCCTTGGATCCGCGCTGTCCGTCTCCAGCTCCGCGAGCGGTTCCGCCAGGACCTTCCTGTCCTGCGTCTGCACTCTGACAGAGGTGGTGAGTTCTCCTCCGACCTCTTACGGGACTTTTGTCGTGGGGAGGGCATCCGCCAGTCGTTCACGCTTCCGGCCTCTCCGCAGCATAATGGGGTTGCTGAGCGCCGCATTGGCTTAGTCATGGAGGTGGCTCGTACCTCCATGATCCATGCGGCTGCTCCCCATTTCCTGTGGCCGTTTGCGGTCCGGTACGCTGCGCATCAGCTCAACCTCTGGCCCCGTGTCTCCTTGCCGGAGACCTCGCCTACACTGCGTTGGACGGGAGAGGTTGGCGATGCGTCGGTGTTTCGGGTCTGGGGCTCTCGTGCCTTTGTCCGCGACACTTCCGCGGACAAGCTCTCCTCCCGCGCCATTCCCTGTGTCTTCCTTGGCTTTCCCCCTGACGCGCCTGGCTGGCAGTTTTACCACCCCACCTCGCGCCGTGTCCTGCCCTCTCAGGACGTCACCTTTGACGAGTCGGTTCCCTTTTACCGTCTCTTCCCCTACCGCGCTGCCCCTCTCCCCCCCCCCGCCGCTCTTCCTCGCTCCAGGTCCCCCTCCGGTAGACCCCCTCCCCCCTCAGGGTCCTGCTCCCTCAGGTGTGTCTCAGGTAGACCCACTCCCCTTGGCTGAGCCTGTCGAGGTCACTTTAGACTCTGGTGCTGCTAGGGGTGGTGCTGCTAGGGGTGCTGCGTCTGGGGGTGCTGACCCTGCGGGTGCGGAGCCTGGGGTTGCTGAGCCTGAGAGTGCGGAGCCTGGGGGTGCTGAGCCGAGTCTGGGGGTGCTGAGCCTGAGAGTGCGGAGCCTGGGGGTGCTGAGCCTGAGGGTGCGGAGCCTGGGGGTGCTGAGTCTGAGAGTGCGGAGCCTGGGGGTGCTGAGCCAGAGGGTACTGAGTCTGGGGGTGCTGAGCCTAGGGGTACTGTGTCTGCCGGAGGTCCTGCGGTTGCCTCGCCACTGCAGTCTCGCCGGCGGGAGCCTCTCTCACCGCGGCAGCTGCGCGAGTGGTTTGCTCGGCGCACACGCCTTAGGAGTGGCGCTGCTGGAGCTGGAGGCCCCGCCGCTGGAGGCACTGGAGCTGGAGGCGCTGGAGCTACTAGTCCTGGAGGTGCTGGAGTTACTGTTGGTGATGGAGGCGCTGGAGCTGGAGGTACCGGAGGTGCTGGAGCTGTTGGTCCTGGAGGTGCTCGTACTGGAGGTACTGGAGTTTCCAGAGCTGGTGGTGTTGGAGGCGCTGGAGCTGGAGACCCTGGAGTTGGAGGCGCTGGAGCTGGAGGCACTGGAGCTGGAGGCGCTGGAGCTGGAGGCGCTGGAGCTGGAGGCCCTGGAGCTGGAGGCGCTGGAGCTGGAGACGCTGGAGCTGGAGGTGCTGGCACGGGGGGTGCTGGAGCTGGCGGTACTGGTGCTGGAGGCACTGTGCATCGGCGACCCTTTTTCGTTCCGCCGCCGCCGTCGTCTCTTCCACCACCTGGCTCGGTACTTCGCCAGGTTATTAGTCTCCCGTCTTCTACAGGCCTTACTCCTCCCTCACTGTGTCCACCGCCTGACTAGTCACAGCCAGAGTTACAGCCAGACTCCCCACTGCCTTCTCCTTCTCCTTACACTAAGCAGACAGGCTCTCTTACAGAGCATCGTGAGCCTGCGTCTCGTCCTGCCTCGCCTGTTCGCGCTGTTCGCACTGGTCACCGTGTTCCTCGTTCGTGTCCTCCTCCTGTCCCCGGCACTCACATTATGGCACTTCGTCCTTCCTCTGTTCCACTGCGAGTTCCCCTGCCGTCCCCTCCGGCGTCCTCTCTTCCTGACGTTCCGGACCCTGAGTCTGACTTGGTTCGTGCTGCCAGTCCTACAGTCACATGTCTTCTAGCCACTGTTGTTACTGACCCTTCGTTTGAGTCCACTGCTGCGTCTGCCCTAGTTACTGAGCTTGTTGACTTTGCTGCTGCGTGTCGTCTCGACTACGCCGCTAGTCTTGTTGCTGAGTCTGCGTCTGACTGTCCTCCGTCCGTCGGGGGTGAGTGTTCTCTTGGCACGGACGTCCTTGAGGACAGGCAAGAGGACTTTGAGTGTCTTGCACCTGAGGGAGACCCGGATGCACCAGAGATGGCATCCTGGAAGTCCACAGGCACTTACGTCGACGCAGTTCCCCCTCCTGGGGCGAACATAGTCGATGGCATGTGGATTTTCAGGGTGAAGCGGCCGCCGGGTTCTCCGCCTGTCTTCAAGGCTCGTTACGTTGCACGAGGCTTTAGCCAGCGACAGGGAGTTGACTTCTTCCAGACCTTCTTCCCTACCCCGAAGATGACCACTCTTCGGGTGCTGCTGCACGTCGCCGCTCAGCGTGACTACGAGCTTCACTCTCTTGACTTCAGCACAGCTTTCTTACAGGGCAGCCTGCACGAGGAGATCTGGCTGCGCCGCCCACCTGACTTCACTGGGTCGTTTCCTGCAGGTACCCAGTGGAGCCTCCGGCGGCCATTCTACGGTCTCCGCCAGGCGCCTCGCGAGTGGCACGACACAGTGAGGACGACGCTTGCGGCTCTTGGGTTTGCTCCTTCGACTGCTGACCCGTCGCTGTTTCTGCACACCGACATTTCGCTGCCGCCGTTCTACGTCCTCGTGTACGTCGACGACTTGGTTTTTGCCACTGCTGACACTGAGGGACTGGCCCTTGTGAAGTCGGAGCTGCAGAAGAGACACACCTGCACTGACCTGGGTGAGCTGCGCAGCTATCTTGGCTTGCAGATCACCCGGGACAGAGCACGGTGCACCATCACCCTGACTCAGTCACACATGGTGCACCAGGTCCTTCAGCGCTTCGGCTTCCGGTACTCCTCGCCACAGTCCACTCCTCTGCCTACCGGTCACTCGCTCTCAGCTCCACCTTCGGACGAGTCCGTAGAGCCGAGTGGCCCATATCCAGAGCTTGTGGGTTGCCTCATGTACCTGATGACCTGCACTCGACCTGACCTTGCCTACCCTCTTAGCATCCTGGCACGCTACATTGCGCCCGGTAGACACCGACCAAAGCACATGGAGGCCGCTAAGAGGGTGTTGCGCTACTTGTGCAGTACGTCGGGCATGGGGCTCGTGCTTGGAGGACGGGGTCCAGTTGTCCTCACTGGACACGCAGACGCGTCTTGGGTTGACGACTTGGCTACGCAGCGGTCGTCACAGGGTTACACCTTCAGCCTTGGCTCCGGCTCTGTTTCTTGGCGGTCTACCCGCTCGTCTTCTGTTCTCAGCTCCAGTTGTGAGGCTGAGATCTACGCAGGGGCCATTGTCAAAGTACTAGCGTAAGGTTTAGGGCCTAGGTTTAGTAGCCTAGGCCAACGTATGTCGAGAGAGTTCGTGCCAAGCGAAAGTGAGAATGGTTGGGTTCACTATAGCACACAAGGTACATATAGCAAACTAGCAAAGGTGCACCCCAAGCAAACAATCAGATAACTACACTACAGTAACTACAGCAAGCAGGATATATTAAATACAACTTTAACACACCCCCTTAGCCTGCTTGCAGTAATAACTAGTGCAGTCAACACCCCTTGAAGGGGTACACTTGGCGCAGTGGATGACTGCAGAGATTTAAATGAGGAGGAGGAGGCGAGAGGGAGAGAGGAGAGGAGAGGGAAGAAGTACCAAGGAGGAGGTGAGAGAGGGATGAGGCGAGGAGTTGAGGGGGAGCCACCCGTGGCGAAACCCTCGTAGTAACCCCCTTTTACAAAGGGGGGAGGTGAGAGAATGACGAGGAGAGGAGGTGGGGGGGAGCCAAGCATGGCGAAACCCCTCTTAGTAACCCCCAAATCCCCACACCCATTCAACCACCCCCCCTTAACCTCACCCCCCATAACAGCCGCCCCCTTGGACCGCACCCACCCCCCCCCCCCCCTTCCTTCCTCCACACCCCTGCCCCACCCACGGTAGTCCCTGCAGCGGGGTCTCTGCTGGCGGTGTAGCTGCTGGTGAGGTCTCTGCTGGCGGTGTAGCTGCTGGCGGGGTCTCTGCTGGTGGGGTCTCTGCTGGTGGGGGTCTCTGCTGGCGGGGTCTCTGCTGGCGGGGTCTTTGCTGGCGGGGTCTCTGCTGGCGGGGTCTATGCTGGCGGGGGTCTCTGCTGGTGGGGTCTCTGCTGGCGAGGTCTCTGCTGGCGGGGTCTCTGCTGGCGGGGGTCTCTGCTGGCGGGGTCTCTGCTGGCGGGGTCTCTGCTGGCGGGGTCTCTGCTGGCGGGGTCTCTGCTGGCGGGGTCTCTGCTGGCGGGGTCTCTGCTGGCGGGGTCTCTGCTGGCGGGGGTCTCTGCTGGCGGGGTCTCTGCTGGCGGGGTCTCTGCTGGCGGGGTCTCTGCTGGCGGGGTCTCTGCTGGCGGGGACTCTGCTGGCGGGGTCTCTGCTGGCGGGGGTCTCTGCTGTCGGGGTCTCTGCTGGTGGGGTCTCTGCTGGCGGGGTCTCTGCTGGCGGGGTCTCTGCTGGCGGGGTCTCTGCTGGCGGGGTCTCTGCTGGCGGGGTCTCTGCTGGTGGGGTCTCTGCTGGCGGGGTCTCTGCTGGCGGGGTCTCTGCTGGCGGGGTCTCTGCTGGCGGGGTCTCTGCTGGCGGGGTCTCTGCTGGCGGGGTCTCTGCTGGTGGGGTCTCTGCTGGCGGGGTCTCTGCTGGCGGGGTCTCTGCTGGCGGGGTCACTGCTGGCGGGGTCTCTGCTGGCGGGGTTCTCTGCTGGCGGGGTCTCTGCTGGCGGGGTCTCCGCTGGCGGGGTCTCTGCTGGCGGGGTCTCTGCTGGTGGGGGTCTCTGCTGGCGGGGTCTCTGCTTGCGGGGTCTCCGTTGGCGGGGGTCTCTGCTGGCGTTGGTCTCGGCTGGCGGGGTCTCTGCTGGCGGGGGTCTCTGCTAGCGGGGTCTCTGCTGGCGCGGTCTCTGCTGGCGGGGTCTCTGCTGGCGGGGGTCTCTGCTGGCGGTGTCGCTGCTGGCGGCTGGCGCTGGTGCCTGGTGTCGGTGCTGGTGCTGATGCTGGCGGACGTCCCGCCGTCACCCCTTTCCCCCTTTTCGCCTCCCCCCCACAGCGCTCCGCCGCCACTCCCTTCCCCTCCTCCCTCTCCCCCCCAAAGCGACCGCCGCTACACCTGCGAACAGTCGCGACGGAGGGGGGTGACGGGCAAGGGGCGGGGGGAATGCGACGGGCAGAGCGACGGCGGGCGAAGAAGCGGCTGGGGCGACGGGAAGCAGGGCGACGGGCGACGGTGCAAGTGATGTCGGTTGGCTGGTGGTCCGCCGCCACGCCCTTTCCCCTTCCCTCTCTCCCCCCATATCGCGACTGTCGCTGCACACGCGTACAGCCGCGACGTTGGGTGACGACCAGGAGCCGCGGGGCCTTCGATCGAGCGGGACGCATAAGGCGAAGAGCGAACTGGCGGCGGTTTGCGTACGGACAGCAGGGTGTGCGCGGAACGCAGAGCGAAGGGCGAACGGGCGACGGGCGACGGGCTGATCGTGAGAAAACGCTCACGAGGTGCACTACGGGGCGCGTCATTGTGAGCGCTGACGGTGGGCCCATTTAAAAAACTGTCCTAAACCGGACCTAGCTCAATACCATGTCAAAGTACTAGCGTAAGGTTTAGGGCCTAGGCTTAGTAGCCTAGGCCAACGTATGTCGAGAGAGTTCGTGCCAAGCGAAAGTGAGAATGGTTGGATTCACTATAGCACACAAGGTACATATAGCAAACTAGCAAAGGTGCACCCCAAGCAAATAATCAGATAACCACACTAGAGTAACTACAGCAAGCAGGATATATTAAATATAACTTTAACAGCCATGGCTGCACAGGAGTTACGCTGGCTCACCTACCTGCTGACCGACTTGGGAGAGCCGCCTCGTTCTCCTCCAGTTCTGTACATAGACAACAAGGCCATGATTGCCTTGTGTTAGGAGCACAGACTGGAGCACATGACGAAGCACATCGCTCTGCGTTACTTCCTTGCTCGAGAGTTGCAGCAGCGTGGTCAGCTTCGTCTTGCTTACGTGGCCACTCGGGCCAAAACTGCTGATATACTCACCAAGGCACTTCATCCTTGTGATCATCAGCGTTTCTGTACTGTTTCAGGCCTTGTGCCTGCTTTGTCTCACTTGCTCACTGCGTGACTTTGCTTGTACTGTGATCTATATACATTTACCTGCATGCTTACCCCTGCTAGGTTATGATCACTGTACTGTTTGTTCTCATTTATATAACTCTGCATGTGGACTGGCCTTGCGGCCATTTGCTTGTGCTCAGAGTGTGTGGTGACTTTGTGATCCACCTTGAGCTTGCTTTGCTTTTCTTGACTGGTCTTGTGACCACTTGTTCTCCCCCACTTTGTCTATGGGGGTGTGTCAAATTGTTATAATGTTTATATTGTATAGGCTGTAGTGGGGTAGCCCATAAGGGGTACAACCCAATTAGGGTTAGTACTTGTACTCAGTTTCTTGTCAATGCATTCATCCTCGTTCAATATTCTGACAAGATGCAGGTACAAGCATTTGAATGGGAAATGGCGGGAACAGTTTTGAAACGGGTTCCCTTGCCGCACGGTTGGAATATACCCCTTAGAGTACCTGACTAGCTAGGACCTTTCGTATTCCTTTGTATTCTTGTCTTTGATATAGTCACTTCTGTCATTTTACATTCACTATGACTAGGAGTCAATCACTTCCGTTGCGATCAACCCTGAGCACTATCCTGGCTAAGTCCCCCGTCAGATTGTAATACATCTTAGGGGGTACAACACAAATCTCGACACTCGCACTTGTATCCCACATTCTCCTGGTGACATCACTTCCGCTCGACCTAACTCTAAGAGCACTGTATGCGGGCGCACCGGTCACCCGACTGCGCTCTAACTCTGACGGCTCGACGACCCTTTTTCACGCCAACTTGAGGCGCGCCATGTGTTCGCCATGTGGCGGAGCCTACACTCAAGCCATCCAAGACCCTGGCCCATCGCGTGCGCCTGACGACTATGGGACTCCTTGTCAATCTTTTAATTCGGTGGACCAATCGAACCAGCGAAGACGACACATGTGTCTCTTCCGACTCCCTTCAGGATCATTCGGTTTTACAGTACCATCTTTCCCGCCGCCGCGTACCTGATGTTAACCACCTTTATTCACGAGGGCGGGGGGGGGGGGGGGAGGGGGGGGGGGGGGGGGGGGGGGGTGGGGGGGTAGTGTTAGGATTTTTCCCAAATCTCTTGTGTCAATCTGTACGCGTACAACTCCAACTTTCGGAAGACCAGGCTCGGTCCGACGACCTCGCCTCCCGAATGTCCTTTGCGTCGCCTTCGGGTTTACCAACCCCGAACCAGCACCCAACTGTTACGATATGAAACTTTATGAGAAGGCATTCCTGTATGCTGCAGGAGCCGACTCTACCGAGTACGAAGTCGAGGAGTCAGAAGAGTCGAAGCGACGCAGCAACCGTCTGACCAAGACCGATGCTGGCAGAAACATTTGAAGTGAAATGAGCGGGAACAGGTTTGAAACGGGTTCCCGCGCCGCACGGTTTGAATTCGGTTGTAATAAGGGAATGTACCCCTTAGAGTACATGGCTAGTCTAGGTCTTTTCGTATTCCCTTGTATTCTTATATAAACTCGATGTATGCATGCTATTATCAACTCAGTCATTTACATTCACTCTGACCTGAGATTCAAACTTCCGCTGCAACACTACTCTGCGATCAACCCTGAGCGATCCTTCGCTAAGTCCCTTTTGGGATTGTAACATGGTATGAGAGCTACTCAGGGATTCTTCGCAACTTCACTTCAGTGAAATTCCCCGAACCAAGATCTGGCGAGCGGCACACGCTCCAAGACCAAGATGGCCGGAGGATCCGGAGGCCAAGCAAATCTGACGGCTGAAGGACAAACCAACCCGGCTGCGACAAATGAGGCGACAACCACGATCGGCACTGCCGCTCTCGAGCAACTCTTCGCTCGACTTTCAACTATGGAGAAAGAATTCCAAGACCTGCGCAAAGGCGATGCGGGAACCACTTCCCAACCAGCACAACCTGGACAGCCGGCTGAGAAAAGCCGTGATACCACCGCGCACACCTTCTCCCTCGACACAGACAAATCAGCAACAACTGCCCCCCGTCCAAGCGATGAAGCTATCAACTCTGCGCAAGCACGCTTCCTTAGCGTTTCAAAGATCAAGACTACTGCCGCGTTTGACGGCAAGGATTTTTATACATGGAGTTTTGAGCTTGAGCTCCTCCTACAGACAGCGCAGATCTACCATTACTTCGACGGCTCCTATCCTAAACCGGTGGAAAACACCGAAGTCGCCAGGGCTCAATACTACAGTGAGTCCCTCATGGCCTACAGTGTGCTGCTACGCAATATGACGCCTGCGGAACAACTCAACATCCGCTCCTACAAAGAGAGCGACGCTCCAGCCTTGGAAGCCTGGAAGCATCTTGTTGAAGTCTATCAGCCGAAGGATTCGGTCACCGCCAGCAGGCTTCTGCAGCAACTCCTGGAGATAAAAATGGGGCACGGGGAGAAAGCGAATCCGTACATTAACCGCTATCGCAACATCCGTGACCAGATCACGAAGCATGGGAGTACGATCTCAGAAGAGATCTTCGTCAACATAGTCCTCCAAGGACTCGGGCCAGAGTGGAAGCCCTGTAAAGCGCTACTCCGACAGCGAGGGATAATTTCAGAAGCCGCGCTATGCGCCGCACTCCTGTCCGAACAACAGGACATGGACTCGAGCAGAACAAGCTCCGCGCCGCGCCGAGAGCGCCTCGCCTTCTACGCCGACAACCGTGAAGAGCGACGACAACCAAGGCGCCACTATTGCAAAATATGCAAAGTCTTCGGACATTCAACGGATCGATGCAAGTCCCGATCCAACAATCGCCACCCAAATTCCACTCACCAAAACAATTGGGTCGGCCGACAAGATGCTCGTCATTCTCAGCATCAGACATCTCGTCCCCCTGCTCAACAGCAACATCAACATCAGCAAACTCAGGGACCCCAGTCAGGAGCTCCCAGGAACATCATCGCGAACATGACGACGCGCCGACGTCGCTCTGATGAACCTGACGAGGAAGACGAGACTCAAGGAAGATTCCTTGAACCAGAGGAGGGATGGAATAACCCCCTCACTGAAAATTACTACTACCAGTATGACGAAGACGAGCAGGATTGGAACCTGCCAATCACTTTGCGGGAAAGCCCGCCGCACGACAATCAACACTACGTACCGGTGGGATGAAAGGAGGACGAAGACCCTCTCTTCTACAGTCGTTACAAGGCAACCCTGGTGACTCCGCGATTGGCGCTACTTCTGCGCCGGAGCAACACCGACAACTACAACACCTGGTACCTGGACAGCTGCTGCGGACAGCACATGGTGGGATCTACGCGCTACGTCTCAAATCTGAGTCGCGCCCCCCCAACTTACGTTACCGTCGCCAACAACGAGCAGCTGCGCGCCAACTCACAAGGCATTGTCGTTTTACAAGCGCGGGACAGCAACACACACATCTCATTCAACGACGTGCTCTACGTTCCGAATCTCCGCTTCAACCTGCTCTCGGCCGGACAACTTCGTGACTGCGGCGTCATACTCACCACCGACCTCGCCACTCGCGATCTCATACTCACATACGCTCCGCCAGATACCCCTCCCGAATCATTCAAGTATCTCGGACGAGCCCGCTCGATCAACGGGATTTATGTCGTGGACTTCGACGTACCTCCCTGCCAAGCCTCATCCGACGAGCTCGTGGACCTCGTTCCCCTCGAGTTTGCCTTCACAAGCAAATGGGAGCACCCGGACGGACGACCGTGGGTTCGCCGCAGTCCTCATCCCCGAGAGATCAATCTGCACGACCCCGACATCAATGGTCTCTGCACCACCTGCCACACGCCCACCGCGAGTCGCACGGAGCAAGTCGAACGAGAGCAAGCGGCAATTCAGGAAGCAGAAAGTGCCGAGGCAGAACCTACGGGCATGACGCAAGAAGAGCTTGCAATAACAACTCACCGCATCTTCGGTGAACCAAACGACGACTTCGGGCAGCTTCGTGCCGAACGACCAACACCATATGCAGAAACGCTCCGTTTCGTACTAGAAGCCAACACCACTACCTTCGACGACGATGGACGACCACGTCCCTACACCCGCGAAATCTACCGCCGCGAAATTGACCCTGCCTGGAAAGATCCTGACGCACCAGAGGAGCTCAGCGTCAAGGAA